AGATTTACAGCCTTGAAAGTCGAGCGGAGGGTTGCTGTGACTCAGAACCCACCACACAGCTGTGAGCTTGGGCTTTGGAGCGGAAATTACAGCAGCTTCATTGGTGCAGAGGTTAGAGAACCAGGTTGCTATCCAAAAGGTCAGTGGTTTGAACCCGCTGGCTGTGGGAGAAAGACATGCCAATGTAATGCAGTACAGACTACAGAAAATTCAGTAGAGACATTCTGAGTGCTGCAGAAAATTCCGTCTTAAAATAGTCACTGTGAGCCACTATCAACTTGGAGGGAGCGAATGACGTGAAATGAAAATGTCAGTGGGAGGCTTGAGTTTTTATTTGCTGTGTGACAATTCTAGAGCGCTTTAAACAGATAATACTATGAACTCAGGAGAAAGGGGGCAAAGTGCATTTTAGATTGAGTGGAAAACTGTGGTTGTTTAACCCAGAGATCAGTTTGTCTAAACAGAAGATGGGGTGATAGTGGGCATAGATAAATGGTGAGTAATTTTATAACACACAGTGTATGGGGTATGAGGACTCTGGTGGCCTAGTGGCAAGAAGTTGCACTGTAATCCCAAAGGTGTGTGGTTCGAGGCCACCAGCTGCTCAGCAGGAGAAGGATGGGCAATCTCCTCCTGTGCGATTAGCTGTCTCTGAAAACCCGCCTGAGGGTCAGCTATGAGTCAGTTCCGACTCGATGGTACATGACAACAATGGGAATGATTGCATGAAACACAACATGAATGAAGGAATGTGTGAAATACAATGTGAATGAAAGAAACACCGTGTACATGGATTTCATATGCAAACCAATAGAAAAGAAAATAAAAATGAAAAAATAAACCTGCACAAAAAACTAGAGAGCACTTTCTAGGGAGAAGTGGAGTTTGAAAATGACACAATTTGATAAATGCACACAGTTGCATGCAAACACTATTCAAAATGGGAAGAAAAAGTAACCAAGAATTTCTTGGGTGGCAGTTTTGGTTTCTTTAGGGTATATTCCCAGCAGTGGAATTGCTGGGTCAAATGGTATCTCTATTTCCAACTTTTTGAGAAAGTGCCATACTGCCTTCCACAGGGGTTGCACCATTTCATACTCCCACCAACAGTGAATCAGGGTTCCAGTTTCTCCACAACCTCGCCAGCATTTGTAGCTTGCTGTTTTGTTAAATTTTGCTATTCTGACTGGGTGGAGATGATATCTCAGAGTTGTCCAAGAATTTCTTGATTCTAGGGAACAGAAATAGGAAACATGGATAAGCACAGCTTTACAAGGATCAAAAGGGCCCTGCTGGCATAACGGGCAATGTGGCTGCTGAATGAAAGGTTAGAAGTTCAAATCCACTCATTGTCCCACGGGAGAACCACAGGCGGCCTACTTCACTTCTGTTAGGGAGTGCTGGTGGCCTAGTGCTAAGCAGTTATGATGCCAATTTAAAGACACACAGTTTGAAGCCATCAGCTGCTCTTTGGGAGAAAACTATGCAATCTCTTCCCACGCGATTCGCTGCTTCTGAAAACCTGCCAGAGGGTCTGCTACGGGCTGGCTCTACCTTGATGCTGGCTAACAACAGTAACAGTCAAACCTGATGGACAGCCCCTCATGCGTCAGAATCAACTTAAGGGCTGCAGGCTTGGGTTTCTGGCTTATTACGATGTTTCAATGTGAGTGATATTTCCAGTCATGATAATGTAATCACTGAATTCTGACTTAATCTTTTTAAAAAATTTTATTTTATTCATTTTAATGAACATTTACAGAGATTTTGGATTTTCATTCATTCATTGTTCTACTTTTCTCCCTGCCCTCCCATCCCACCCCAGTTCACTCCTCTCTTTGAAAAGTAAAAGAAAAATTTCTTCATTGGTATACAATCCCCCTGCCCCGAGTATACTCCACTATGAAACCTTAATTCTGGAGTCTTGTGATAACCATAATACCTTAATATATATTGCTTTTAAACTATTCTATCCCTCATCTGTTTTGATGCAGCATACCTAATTTATCCAGTTTTTCCTCAATCTTATCCCAACTCTGATGTCAGTCCCATTCTACAACAGTAGCATCATGTAGTATTTGTCCTTTTGTGCCTAAGATATTTCTCTCAGCATAATGTCCTCCAGGCTCACCCATTTTGAACAATATTTCATGAGTTCCTTGTTTTTCAATGCCACGTAGTTTTCCATTGTGTGAATATACCACAGCTTCTCTATCCATTCAAAAATTCTGATTTAATCTTGTAGTTGCTGAGTGCCGTCGAGTCGTAGGTGACTCAAAGTGACCCTGTGAATGAAAGTCCTTGACACTTTTGTGACTTTCATCCTTTCTCCAATGTCATAGTGTTTCTGAAGACAAGCTATTCTGGAAGCGGATGCCACTCCTGCTTCCAAGCTTGTTTTAATCGGGAAGCTCCACCAAACACTGTCCACCATGGGTAACCATGATCGCATTAGAAACATCAGTGTCACAGTGTTCAGCATCACAGCGACCACAAGTTACCTCTGTACAGCAAGTGGACAGACCAAGGCTATACGACCTAGAAGAATGTTCAACCAAAACCAATTAAAGACAGACCTGAGGGCCGCGGATTAGAGTCATCCACCTTTGGCTTGGTAGCATCACTTTTGGTCCACCCCTAATTCATCCATCAAGTCCGCTCTGCGGCCACTCACTTGGGGCAAAAAGAAAGCCGCACATGCCCCAGTGTTTCCTCACTTGCCTCACTTCCAGGCTCAAGAGGCCGCATTCACCCAGCTGACATAATCTAAAGACATAACATAGTAGAAAATGGAGAGTGACTGCCGTGTGGGAAGCTCTGGGTCTCCCCAGGAATGAGGGCAGGAATCTGAGACTGCCTTCTTCTCTCCCCCATCAGGTAATGCCCATTCTCCCAGAATCCCACTAGCTCTGGTCAACAATCAAGGTGGGCAGACAGGACCTTCAGTCCCGGATCTGCGTCAGGTAGCCCAGAGCTCCACACACAGCTGGAGTCGGGGGTCACCTTTGGTGCATTTAATTTGTATCAAAACCCTCAGACACACACACACACACACACACACACACACTCACTCATGTTGTTATGTGCTGTCAAGTTGCCTGTAACTCATCGTGATCCTATGTATAAGAGCTCTAAAACTTGCCCTGCCCTGAGCCAGTCTCACTGACTCCAATACACTTACCCCCATTGCCCTAGTTAATGTATCAAGTCCTCTCATCTGAGATCTTCCTCTCCTGCACTGTTCCTCCACTCTTCTGAGCGTGATGTCCTTCTCCAAGGATCAGTCCCTCCTGGCCACAGGTCCAAAGTATGTGAAATGGGGCTTCAAAATTATATTTATACTACAGACGCTGCCACGGATGTGTCCACTAAGTTGTGCCAAGAAATCTGGAGGACAGCTACTTGGCCACCTGACTGGAAGAGATCGATATTTGTTCCCATTCCAAAGAAGAGTGACCTGATAAACTGTGGAAATTATAGAACAGTATCATTAATTATCACATGCAAGCAAGATTCTGTTGATAATTATCCAAAAATGACTGGATCAGCACGTTAACAGAGAACTGCCAGATGTGCAGGCTGGGTTTAGAAAAGGCCGTGGTACTAGGGAAATTATAGCTGATATTAGATGGATCTTGGCAGATAGCAGAGAGTACCAGAGATATGGCAATATATCTGTGTTTCATTGACTATGCAAAGGCGTTTGACTGTGTGGATCATAACAAACTGTGGCTGACTCTGAGAAGAATGGGAATCCCAGAACATTTGATTGTGCTAATGCTTAACCTATACTTGGACCAAGAGGCAGTCGTCAGAACAGAGGAAGGAGACACTGCATGGTTCAAAATTGGGAAGGGAGTTCACAAGGGATGTATTGTGTCTCCATACCTTTTCAATCTGTATGCAGAACAAATAATCTAGGATGCTGGGCTGTACGAGGAGGAATGTGGCATCAGGATTGGTGGAAGATTCATCAACGACCTGCATTGTGCAGATGACACAACCCTGCTTGCTGAAACTGAGAAGGACATGAAGTGCTTGCTGCAGAAGGTCAAGGACTGCAGCCTTCAATATGCATTAAGCTCAACATCAAGAAAACAAAGATTCTTATTACTGGGCCAATTGGCAGCATCATTATGGATGGTGAAGAGACTGAGGTTGTTTTAGTTTGCTTGGTTCCACAATCAACACTTGTGGTACAAGGAGCCAGGAAATCAAGAGACGAATTGCACTGGGAAAGTTAGCTGTCAGGGACCTCTCCAGAGTACTTAAGAGTAATGATGTCAGGCTGGAGACTAAGGTGCGCCTGATCCAGGCCATAGTCATCGCAATTTCTTGCTATGTGTCAGAGAGCTGGACAGTGACTAGGGATGATAGAAAAAGAATTGATGCCTTTGAGCTGTGGTGCTGGAAAGAAGTGTTGCATATACCATGGACTGCTAGGAGAACAAACAGGTTTGTCCTGGAGAGGATGAAACCGGGCTGCTCCTTGGAGTCAAGGATTCTGGAGCTTCGTCTGACATTCTTTGGACATATTGCAAGGAGGGACCAGTCCTTGGAGAGGGACATCAAGCTTGGAAGGGTGGAGAGACAACACAGGAGAGGAAGACCCTCAATGAGATGGATCGATTCAGTGACTGGAGTAATGGGAGCAGGTGTGTTGGAGACAGTGAGGTCGGCTCAGGATAGAGCAGGGCTCAGAGGTATTGTACACTGGGTCGCTATGAGACACAGGCGATTGGAAGACACATAACAACGATAAAGAAATACACGTTATATGTCTGTACATATACATAAAATGAAGTATTTACCCTCTCTCCATTTCTTCCTCAGGACTGCACCTGGGGCAGGTGACACAGGCACAAAGGGGTAAGTCCTTCTCCTGAAGTCTCAGACCCCTTCTCTGGATTCACCCGAAGAGAGGCTGGGAGGGGGTTTCAGGGTCCCGGAAGGGAAGTCTCTTTGGGCTTGATCTGTAGCTTTCTCTTCTTCTACGCCAGTGCCCCTCCCCAAGCCCTCGCTCCGGGCCTCCCCCAGCACCCTGGTTCCTTTGAAGCAGTCGGTGATCATCCAGTGCAAGGGGCCTCAGGATGTGGGTCTACTGTACCGCCTGGAGAAGCTGCACCCCAAGTCGTATTCAGACGAGTCGTTCCTCTATATCCCCGCCATGAAGCAGAGTCACGCCGGACAGTACCGCTGTTCCTATCAGAACGGGAGCGCCTGGTCTCGACCCAGCGACCTGCTGGACCTCATTGCTACCGGTAAGGTGTGCGTGCACGCGTGTGTGTGTGTGTGTGTGTGTGTGTGTGTGTGAAGTGTCACATCCAGCTTCAGCACCGCCTGGCGCCGGCTCTGTGTTCCCAGAGAGTTAAAAAGGGGACGCTATTGTTGCGTTGATAGGCGCTGTCGAGTTCAGTGCGACCCATGGAGACACAGCTCTGAATCCTGTCCTATCTCACGCCACCCTCATCGTCTCTGACGTCCTTGTGCCCATTTTTGCAGTCACTGTGTCAATCCATCTCATCGAGGGTCTTCCTCTCTTCTGACGACCCTCCGCCTTTGCAAGCGTGATGACCCTTTCCACAGCACGGCTTCTCCTAACAGCATGCACAGAGTATGTGAGATGAAGTTCTCCCTCCTTGCCTCTGGTTGCACTTTCTTCAACACTTATCTGTGAGTGCCTTTGGTGGTCTCTCTACTCTTCTCCAACACCACAGTTCTAAGGCATCGATTCTTCTTCAAGGAATCAGGGATTCAGAGGAAGCTTCAGAATCCTTGCCTCCAAGGAGCATCCCATTTTAACCCTCTCTAGGATGAACCTGTTTGTTCTCCTAGCAGTCCATGGTATATTCAACACTCTTCTCCAACAACACAGCTCAGAGACATCAATTCTCCTTCTATCCACTTAGCACTGTGAAAAGGCCCCTTTCTCAGTCTCCCTATTTTTTAAATTTAGTTTAAGCCAATAATAATAATAATAATAATAATAATAATAATAATAATTCTATCTCATGAGGCTGTATTTTCCTTATGCTTTAGTGTTGCCAACATAACGAAGGGTACCCTTAATCTTCAAACTAAGACCAACGTTCAGACATGGCATCCCCTCCGGTGGGAGCCTGGGAGGAATCTTCTGTTTGCAGAGGGTTTCCAGTGTCTCCTCCAGGGGGCTGGGCTGAATCCTCTGTAGCGGGCGCCTGGACTCTGATCTCAGCTGTGGGCCCAGCTATCACTATGCTGGCCTATCCACAGCTATGGATTTACCTGTTCTGGGATTTCACACCCGTACAATCAATCACTAGGACCTTGTCAACATGAATCAAATATCATCATTTCGAATACAGACAGGCTAGGATGTCATGACGCCCGGTCATCGCAGAGCCTGGGCCAAAAGGGGAAAAAAACCCGATGAACATTTTCATGCATTTAAAACAAATAGTTCATGATTTTCTACAAGTAGATTTTGAAAATGTTATTGATGAATTTGCTTTCATTAAAGCAAAAAAAAAAAAAAGAAGTGCTATAACAAACCACACGGAGGTGTGTATAACAATAAAAAAAAAGAAGCTTAAAATAGAGGTGTATTAATACACCTATATGACATTTTTCTATTATGTTAATGCCTTGGAAAAAAATGAGCCATTAAAAGAAAAATCATACGGGAGCTCTGGTGACCTAGTGGCAAGAAGCTGCACTGCAATCCCAGAGGTGTGCAGTTCAAATTCACCGGATGCTCAGCTGGAGAAGGAGGGACACTCTCCTCCTGTACCAATCAGATCCGATTGGGCGGTACATGCACATAAAATAATAAAAATGAATAAAATAATAATAACATGAATAGAAGGGCTTACTTATAGTTTTCTTTTCTGCAAGATTTACTTCGAGGTGGGGCCTCCTTTCTGGGGGACAGACTTAAGGCTCTGCTTTCGTTTGAATGCCTTCTTTACCGCGCGCACCAGTGTGAATATTTCATCCACTTTTATCCTGCTATAACCACACAGTAAATGACTCTGAACAAATAAAACGTAACCCCCTCACAGCTGCGCGTCTAGAACCATGCATTCAGCAGGTGAACCTGGCCACATGCCCTCGGCAGGCTCTGGGGGAAGTTATTTTCTTGTTACTCTCAACTTCTGACAGCCCCACACTTCCCCTTCACTGGCAGCTGCTGCATAAATCTATTATCACACTGTATCTTCAGCCTGTGTTTCTTCTCCTTTTTTTAAAAAAAAAGTTATTGATTTTAATGAATGTTTACAGAGACTTTGGATTTCCATTCATTCATTGTTGCACTTTTCTCCCTGCCCACCCCCACCCCCCAATTCACTCTTCTCTTTGAAAAGTAAAAGAAAGTTCTGGTGGCTTAGTGGCAAGACACTACACTGCAATCCCAGAGGTATGCGGTTCAAATTCACCAGATGCTCTGCTGGAGAAGGAGGGGCCAATCTCCTCCTGTACCAGTGAGATCTAATTTGACGGGTACACGTAAAAATAATACAATAAAAAAAAGAAGAGTAAAAGAAAAATTCTTTAATTGTTATACAATCCCTCCCCCAAGCCCCCAAGTCTACTCCACTGTGCAAACTTTGTTCTGGAATCCTGTCATGACAGCAATAGCTACTCATATGTCCCTTTTAAACAGTTCTCTCCCTCATCTGTTTCAATGCAATATACATGATTTATCCCCTCTTTCTCAGTCTCCTCCCAAACCCCGATGTCAGTCTTGTTTTACAACAGTGGCCCTATGCAATATTTGTCCTTTTGTGACTGAGATATTTCACTCAGCCTGATGTCCTCCAGGGTCACCCCTTTTGAATAATATTTTATGAGTTCCTTGTTTTTCAATGCAGCATAATATTCCATTGTGTGAATATACCACAGCTTCTCTATCCATTCGTTTGTTGCTGGGCAGTTGGGTTGTTTCCAGCTCTTTCCTATTGTGAACAAAGCCACGATAAACATGACTGTGTCTTCTCTTTTGTAAGGACACCACTCTTATTGGATTGTGGGAGAAAGATGGGCCATCTCTTTTCCTTCAATGATTACCTTTGAAAATCCCCTGGAGGGTCAGCTACGGGTTGGTTCCAACTTGATGGCATACAACAACAACAACAACAACAACAACAACAAAAACCCCAACAAGTTATCGGGTTAGGAGTCACCCAATTCCAGAATGACTTCACCTTAACTGAAAACATCTTCCGAGGCCCTCTTTCCAAATAAGGAGTCCTTGGGTGGTGCAAATGGCCAAGCCCTCAATTAGGAATGAAAACACTAACAGTTAAAAGCCACCCAACGGGTCTCCGAAGACGGGTCTTGAGGAGACTGAGAGGGCACAGCCTTGTCCACTCTGCGGGGCAGCTCTGCTCTGCTCTGCACACGTGGAGCTGTCAGACCTCAGGATGAACTGAAAGGCAAATAGCAGAAATGAGGACATATAACAGCAAAGAAAAAGAAGAGTAATAAAAAGAATAACATAAATAAGAATATATAATAAATACATATTAAATAATAGAATACATATATAATTGTAAAGGATCTAATAGAGAATAAATATTTTGTATATAAGAGATATTTATATATAATAGATATTTTGTTGTTGCTATTAGGTGCCGTCGAGTCGTAGACCACTCATAGCGACCCTATGAATGAAAGGCCTGAGAACTGTTTGTACATAGACTTTCCGGAGGCAAGCCATTTCAGAAGTGGATGCTGCTCCTGCTTCCAGGCTTGTTTTAGTCGGGAAGCTCCAGCCAACACTGTCCACCATGGGTAACCATGATCGCATTAGACACTGTCCACCATGGGTAACCATTACCACGTTTGGCACATCAGTGTCACAGTGTTTAGTATCACAGCGACCACGAGTTACAGCAATGCACAGACCAGTGCTGTACCACCTAGAAGAATGTTTGACAGGAATACAATTTGAACCAGGCCTGAGGGCCGCAGATTAAAATCACCCACCTTCGGCTTGATAGCATAACTTTCTGTCCACTAGGCCAAAGCAGAACTCTTTCTATGCCATCATTTTTGTTGTTGTTAGGTGCTGTCGAGTCGTAGATGAATCATAGCGACCCTATGAACCAAAGACCTGAGCACTGTTCATACATAGAGTTTCTGAAGGCAAGCCATTTCAGAATAGGTATTTTAGAAATATTATCAGTATAATACATTATTAATATATATTTTAAATAATAGAATGAATTATATATAATGATAATATAATTGTTGTTAAGTGTCGTCAAGTTGTAGGTGACTCATAGAGACCCTATGAACGAAAGTCCTTGACACTTGCGTCCGTGACTTTCATCCTCTCTCCAGGTTCATAGGGTTTCCTGAGGCAAGCAATTATGGAAGTGGATGCCACTCCCACTTCCAAGCTTGTTTTAACCAAGGAACGCCACCAAACACTGTCCACCATGGGTAACCATGATCACATTAGACATGTCACTGTCACAGTATTCAACTTCACAGCGACCACAAGTTGCGTCTGTACAGCAAGTGGACACACCAGAGCTATACAGCTTAGAGGAATCTTTCACCAAAAAACAAAGACAGGCCTTGAGGTCACAGATTAGTCACCCACCCTTGGCTTGGTAGCATCACCTATATATATTTTATGTAATAGAATAAATTATAATATATATAATGATTCATCCTAGAGAGGGTTAAACCAGGCTACTCCTTGGAGGCAAGGATTCTGGGGCTTCGTCTGACATACTTTGGACATGTTGTAAGGAGAGAC